TTAATAGATCATATGTTTGTCAATTTTTTTCCATATTTACTAAACATATATTCACTTATCAAATCTTTATCTATAATTTTAACAAAGTAAGATTGAAATAATATTCATGTAACAAAAAAATCCGAAAGCCCGAAAAACCCGACAAAACCGAACCAATCCAAACCGATATAGTTGGTTTGGTTCGGTTTTGAACACCCCTACTTCCTATATATAGTAGATCAAGCCATTTTTTCACTTCAAAATAGATTAGAACAGTTTGAAGTATATGAAAGTAGCTTTGGTTTCCTATTTAATGGTAAAAAATTGAGATCATTAGATGATGAGAAATTGAAGAAATATTGTCTTAACCTTGAAGGTTCCTTAAAACACAACAATCACTCAGATATTGATGTTTTAGACTTATTTTCCGAATTAAAAGTGTTAAGAGAAATACTAGAAGTAGAAGATAATACTCTAATGGATATACTCAATCAAATAAAAAGACTTGATTCTTTTCCAAATGCTTATATTGCTTATAGAATAATGTTAACAGTTGCTTCAGCAGAAAGAAGTTTTTCAAAATTAAAATTGATAAATCTTATCTAAGATCAACAATGTCTCAAGAAAGATTAAATGACTTGGCTATATTATCAATTGAAAAGGGATTATTAGAAAAAATCGATTATAACAAAATTATTAACAACTTTGCATCTCAAAAAGCTAGAAGAATAGATTTTAAATAAAAATATATAATATAACATTTCTATAAATATTTAGGCCACATATTAAACTTTTGCCTTAGGCCTCATTTACACTTGAGCCGCCCCTGCAATAAGCAATCAAGAAATACTTTAAAGATTGATAGTTAACTCATACAACTTTCAAAGCATTTCAATATCTTCGATTTCTGTCATTGCATCTGTATACTTGTCGTTGAAGCTCCATTTTTTGTTAGTAATACACAAATTCTACATGTAAGATCCAAGGTCTGCAGGGCAATTTCCCTGGATATACACAAGTATCTTCCCCTCAAGTTCTACAAATTGCTGAGGGAGAGTATGAGAGTACCTCCAGGCTACGAAGCACAATGATAAAGGTCTGCAATGTTTTCACTAGTCAAGCTCTCCTTAGAAAACCACATCAATAAAGATGAGTAATACTATTTCGGAAGATAGCCGAGGTAGCTTGCTTCCAAGCCACCGCACCAGATGGGCATATGTACTTGTATTAGTCGGCCCAGAATGCCTCACTCTGTTAATGAGGATGAACTGGGGAGGGGCATGAGAGTTGAACGAGCAAAATAACGCGATGCCATTGTTTATGTTAGAATATGAATGATGTTATTGCTGGCCTGTCTTAATCAGGCATAAAGCTTAAGTCGGCAGACATTAAAGTCAATTTGCACCATCTGAGCATGCCATTCTTCGGATTGCAATGTTTATTTCTTCGCCAGCTCCTTTTGCGTGTTATCTCTCTAATGATACATGCACTGATTCAAGTTTATAACTTAGCTGCTCTCTCTGAGAATGCAACTTTTCCTGTCATAGGTACACTGGCTTAAAGGCACAGAACCAACAAAAAAGGAAAGCGAAGAAGGGGAGAGGGGGAGGAGAAGGGACTGAATGTACATACTGTCAATCTTATCACATTAAGTTGCTGGACGAAAGAAGGAACATCTGGCTGATGCGAGAGTCTCACAAATCGATGTTCTAGCAACATGCTAGCTGATGGCCTCTCTGCTGGATTTCTACGGAAACAACAATGTAAGAAATCTTTCCCTTCTGGTGACAATGTGTCAGGTATTGGTGGGGTATCTTTCAGAACCTTGAACATCGCTGCAGCCTGCAATAGTTAAAATTTTAATGATAGAGTGAAGGTGAAAGATCGTAAACGGTTAATATTGTACTGCATGATCCTGCTCTTTACATTTAGTGAAATTATACAAAGAAAGCCTTTGACAAATAGAGTTCAAACAAGGACTCATGCAGCCGCAGTTTTTGTGCTTCTAACATTCCACAAATTCTGATACTATAAAATTCAAACAGCAAATTAGGACTTAATAGATCAGTAACTTGATTCTGCGGTTTGATCAAAGGCAATTCCAGACATAGTGAAAGTTATCTTTAACTCTTTGTTAGATGGCCAAAGATACAAAAAAAGAGGTACATTGGCAGAAATCATATATGTGAGAGCAACAAAATTATATAACCCCTCAATGGCGCAAAATTTAACATGATTAGTCAATATTTTCTAAGTTCTTAGCGCCCTGTTAATCTACTAGAGCATTCAAGAAACGCGTTAATACTAAAAATGCAGAAATTAAGTTCTTACAGCTTCATATTCACTCCAAGGCGGTTTTCCATTCAACATCTCAATTATAGTACAACCCAAACTCCATATGTCAATAGCTAAGGCAAGATCACTACTATTATCCCTCTGCATAACTGATTGCAAGAGCTGCAGGAAACAAAATAATAATAATAATAATAATAATAATAATAATAATAATAATAATAATAATAATAATAATAATAATAATAATAAGTAGTAGTGGGAGGTGAAATAACATAATTAGAAAGATATTTGTGCTGTTGAGGTGAAGTACCTCAGGGGCCATCCAATATGGACTTCCTTTTAAAGAGAGGTTAGCTGAGTGCCCGTTTAACTGCATAACAAGACTTAATGTTCAACGAAAAATATAAGCCTGGCAACAACAACCAATCTATCAGTCCAAGATAACTGTTGCAACTAATATTGTTGTTGTCTTTCTCAAGATAACTGTTCTCATTGACATTATGATTCTCGATATTTTAGAGCAAGAGATCTAGGGTCAATCAGAATATTCCACAGAATAGAATACCATTCTTTACTCACAAAAGATGTGCAAATTGAAAGATGTCTTGAGATACACTAACTTACATGCTTAGCCATCCCAAAGTCTGCAAGCTTGACAACCCCGTAAGCATCAACAAGCAAATTAGCCCCTTTTATGTCCCTACACAAGAAAATATTTCCAATTTGTTCTTCAGAAGATATACTATATCTTTTATCTATCACAGTTGAGTTGCCTGACTGTTACCTGTGAATGGTCTTTTTACTGTGCAAGTAAGCTAACCCACAGAGAATGTGGCGAGTGAAATTCCTCACAATAGATTCTGTAATTGCTCCACAATGGTCTTGGATAAATTTATTTATCGAACCAGGATGAACATATTCCAAATAAATGTAAAACCGGTCATCAACCTGCAATATCAAAGACGAAAATAACTTCCATTGAAGACTAAATGCATGTAAAGATCAAGTTTACAACTTAGCTGCAGAAGGGAAATTTCTTACTATTTCACTGCCATAATACTGGACAATATTTGGGTGCTTGAGCTGGCTGAGAACTTTAATTTCCTACACCAACATAATCAATAGAGATTACAAAAAGTTGAAACCAATTCAAGCTTGGAACCTATGGGGCAAAAGATTGTGTTCATTGAAATGACATTCAGCTGCAGACACTTATGAAACATGGTCTCTATTTCCTTACTTCTCCCCTTTCAGTTCCTTTATTGACTAAGCTTTATTGTAGTTAAAATATAACATGTAGATGAATGGAAACACCCCACTTTAAAATTTCCGCCAATGCCAGGTGTACCCATTAATGATTTGTGATTAGGACTAATCAAGATCAATACACATAATCTAAGTATTCAAGGAGTAAGAAGCAAAGAAAATGAAGGAAATATGACCTGTTCTAATTGCCTTATAGACTCAGCAGATTTTGGATCATCTGGTAATAATTCAACTTCTTTCATCGCACATAAAGCTCCTGTCTCTCTGGTTAAGAACAGTGTATGGAGTCACATTAGAAACTATTGAAGGATAGGTCATATACAGTGCCATTGTATATGCAACATGAAGAACATTTACATACCTGTTTGATGCTACGTAAACACTTCCAAATGTCCCACGTCCAATAAGCTTTCCTTTTTTCCATTGGCCTTTAACAGGTGTTATATCTGTTTTTGGAGTAGGTGGTGAAACGGGAGGGATAGCTAGAGGAGGAAGGGGTAAAGGATGGACATTGCCTTGAGCACAATTCTCACGACGTGCCATTGAGCTCTGATCATTTGGTGGTGGATGATGCAAAGGTGAAGCAGGCCCACTTGGACTCTTGGATCTTGGCTGAGGACTTAATCTTGGACTATGAAGAGGAGAATTATCAACACTAAAAGCTTTGTTATAATAGAATCCTAAACCATGAAGGGTATCTGAAGGAGGCATTTCAGGGGCAGACCAAACTTGGAAAACACCAGGGGGTGTGATGAAAAGAGGACTAATTATAAAATCACCACTTTTCAGTTGGCTACGCGCCGGACTTGCATAAGGACTAGTTGGAGCACTTGTCCAAAAATCAGGAGCAATTCTTTCTGGCACAAGCAACTTCTGAGGTGGTGATTTCCTGGACAGCTCTGTTCTCTTTCGACCATCTTGGCTTAATAGTCTACTGAGATATAAACAAAGAACCAAAACATTAGGTCTGTACGTATAATCTAAAACCTACAAATGAGTGTTCATTGCTAGCCATGCCTAGAGGAAAAGAAAAAAGTTTCATTGTTGTGCATCAAAATTTGTTTGCAAACTTTGAAAGTGAAACGAAAATAAAGGCAAAATACAACTGTATCAATGAACTTCATTCCATCCCTAGTGAAGCAACCCCTATACTTTGCTCCTTTTCCTTCTCTTTTATAAGAGAAAATACCAATCAATAAACTGGACTATCTCATTTGAATGTGATTTAAGCTAGCAAATTTCTACCCAAACAGGAAAGAAGAGAACAATACGGAAGAGAAACTGAGCAAAAGTATTCCATTTGATCTACTGCGTCTCAATTTCAAATTAGATAAAGTGAGATATGAATATACTCTATATTTAGAGAAATATTCAAAATATGATCACCGTCGACAAACTACAACCCCAAAATATTTGATTGTACTGCCCGAATTATTCATGAAAAAAGAAATACTAATAATCCGAAGATAGCATAGAAGAAATAATTATTGGGATAACACATATGTCATCAAAAGTTGAGGTGATAAAAAAAATGGATCATTTGAGAAAAATTGAAAAACAAACAAAGCTAAGTGCATTGAGCAAAATTTCACATACCCTTCTCGTGTTGTTCCACCACTATTATGGGCGTCACCGTTAAAAACATCCACCGCTTCTCTTTCTTTTTCCCTCTCTGTTTCGTCTCCAACATTATGATGCGAAATTCCTTCTCTAGGCGATGGCAATGGGACACTTGGGGCGTGAACGAAATTAGGGTCTTGACGGAGCAGCACCTTTAAGTCCGGCAAAGGGAGGGGCTGAGGCGGCGGACGAACCTCCGAGGAACCCCTGCCCGGTGAATGCTCGTACGAACATTGAGAACGCCATTCATCTACAACGTCGTTGTGATTCCCAGCAAGGTGCTGGTGCTTCTTCCTACGGGATATATTATGGCGGCTACGGCTAACACTACGGCTGCCGAAGAGAGCTGCTTTCAGGATGCACCGTCTGCTTCCGCGCGTGACGATGACGCTATCGTCGGAATGTACTTTTCTGGTGGAAGAGGCCCGCGAGGAAGAAGATGAGAATGCGCTCTGCCACCAATGCATTGCATGCAACCGCTGAGCCAGAAATTCTGATGGACGGATTTAGAAAGTAAAAAAAAAAAACAAGAAAGTCTCGGAATTCTACAACTTATATCTATGGACAAAAAGAATGTTTTTCCCTATTTACACAACATAAATGTGTTGAGGAATGGAATTTAATTGAACTCCATGCATACCTAGCTCGATTACGTGATGCGTTGCATGCAAGAGGTGATCATTAAAAACGTGAATGTATAGGTGTTTTGAGAGGAAATTAACCCAAAAGCGGTATCTACCAATCAACCTTTTAACTAACTACGAATCAATAATTTGAATCTAATCTGATAAATTTAAAAAACATAGGTTTGAAGAAAATATAAACCTCAAAATGAATGAGTATATATTTTTATAAACATCGAATAAATAATTTAAGAAGAACCACATAAGAGGAGGAGGAGGAAAACACGACAGACTAATCGTCGTCTTTGAGTTACCGGGAAAATGGAGAAGGAAGGAGGCAATGGACAAGGATTAAGGAAGGTGGTGGATAGGATAATAATGTAATGGGGGTATATTTAGCAGGACGACAACAACGTAATTGGCACCCGAAGGGGGGGACAGGGCAACCATCTCTATCCTATGGTCAAAATAACAACCATTTCAATTCCTGTTAGGAGTATTATTTATTCTAGAGCATTTCTCTTATTTCTAGCTAAAGTCAAACACATTTCCCAAATAAAATAGACTATATATATAGACGTAGTACATATTATATAACCCTTGTTTCAATTTAGACGAGCTAGTTTGACTTGGCACAAAGTTTAAGAAAAAAGAAGAAATTTTTGAAATTTGTGTTCTTAAAAGCTTAAGGGATAAAAGGTTTGTGGGACCATAATATTTGTGTTACTATAAAAACTTTTCATTAAGAGTAAATGGATAAAATGAATAGTTTAAAGTTGAATTATTTCCAAATTTAGAAAGTCTAAGAAATATTTCTTGTTTATTTAATGTAGCTGACTACTTGTACGATGTAGACCAACGCATTGGACCTACTCCCTTCCTTAAATTGATTCATTTAACTCTACGACCTCTACTTTTTCATTTTCCTCTTATTTTTGTGTTTATCCGGAACTTATATTATGCAATAGTACTACCACTTTAAGCTTTTTGAGAAAAGAATTAATAATGTATAAATGAAATTTTTCTCTCTCTCTTTTTATATATAGTGTCAAGTTCCCTTTTTAAGTACTATCTTCTACTTGCCATAGCAAACAACCATTAAGTATATTTGATGCTAGAACAGTTAAAGCGTTCATCAAATATAATTTTGAAGCTAGTATAGTAGGAGTGAACAGATTTCAAAAGGTTGACCCAATTGAGTATACATCATTTTTTGTTTTTTATTCTTTTTTTTAAATGAGTAGAGGAGCAATCATGCACCTTGAATTAAGGGTCATCAAATGGGACCAAAGAAAAAGGATTCATTAAAAAGAAAAGGAGAATCTGGTTTGGTGATTCTCTTAATTATGAGTCCGGAATCGAAATGTTGTTCTTTGGGACTCAAAACATTTTTTTGAGTATAAAAAAAAGTTGCCATTCTATATAAACGCGGTTTATTTTAACGGTCGTTTGGGACGTTAAGGTAAAATGCGGTTCATAACCGCATTTTGTATAAAACGCGGTAACAAACCGCGATTTACCTGGCAGCTGATAAGACAAGTATATAAAACGCAGTAATGAACCACGTTTTATATACATAAATAATAATTCATTCTCTTTCCCCACGTTTCTGCCCAGATCCCCTTCCCCCTTCGTTTTAAAATAACACAGCGCCCCAATCCCCCTCCATTAATGTCCCAAAAAGCTCATGTAGACCCCACCCGTCCCGTAAAAAGTAGATATTGTTGTTCTCACATCTTAGTCAACCCTTCTATTGTTGTGGTTTGCTTGTTTTGGAGTCAAATTTTCAAATCTTCAACTTTCTGAAAAAACATAAATCGAGGTATTCCGATTTAGTTTATGTCCAAACTCGTATAAATAATGCATATTAGTTGTTTTGAATGTGTTGTATGTTATTTTGTATTTTTTTGTGATTAAATTGGTATATTATTTTTATCCGGACTAAGATATTAATGTTGTAAAAAAATATGTAAAAATTATGAAATCGTTATTATTTGTTAATAAAAATGTTAATAAATTACTATTACTGTTTTATATGTATTTTTGTGATTACATTATATTTATTGTGTTTTATCTGGTTTAAATTATTTATTTGCTTAAAGACTAGTAATATAGTGCCTATTAGGGTAGTAAAATATAATGCCTTTTAGCGTAGTAAAATAAAGTGCCCTTTAGCATAGTATAATAGAGTGTCTTTTAGCGTAGTAAAATGTAGTGCCTTTTAGCGTAGTTTCCATGTAGTTTAGGTATCTCTTATACTCAAAAATACATCAAAATAACTGATAGATCAAACACAAATTTTGTCCAATTATAGTCAACATATATTTGGTGCTAATGGGCCGCAAATATCGAGCATGGAACCCATATATGAATATTTAATAATTAAATTTTGTATAACTATAAAAATTAATTATTTAATTTACAAATAAACATATAAAATTATAAAACTAACATGTAAAATAATAAAACTAATACATAGAATAAATTGGTGCTACTAGGCTCCAAATATCGAGTCTGGAACCCATATGTGAATATTTAATTATAAAAATTAATTATTTAATTTACAAACTAACATATAAAATTATAATAAAACTAATCCTGAAACCCATATGTGAATGTTTATTTATAAAAAAATATTATTTAATTTGCAAACTAACATATAAAATTATAATAAAACTAACACATAGAAGAATTTAGGATATCTTGGTGCTACTAGGCCTCAAATATCGAGCTTGGAACCCTTATGTGAATATTTATTTATAAAAATTAATTATTTAATTTACAAACTAACATATAAAATTATAATAAAACTAACACATAGAAGAATTTAGGATATCTTGGTACTACTAGGCCTCAAATATCGAACCTGGAACCCTTATGTTATTATTTGTTTATAAATATTAATTATTTAATTTACAAACTAACATATAAAATTATAATAAAACTAACACATGGAAGAATTTAGGATATTTTGGTGCTACAGGGCCTCAAATATCTAGCATGGAACCCCTATGTGAATACATCATAATTAAATATTGTATAATTATAAAAATTAATTATTTAATTTACAAACAAACATATAAAATTATAAAACTAATATGTAATTAATGTTATTTAATTTATAGTAGACGACATGGAGGTGCCGCCTATTCATCCCGAACCTTCCAGCGATGCACTACTCTCATTACAGGGCGATCATAGGTCCGCCCACATATGGGAGGGTGAGTTACTAACCCAGACTCTCCGCGCCAGGAGAGTGGACGACATGTGGGACTTTCTACATGACAGAGTTCTCCATACCAGTGTAGTCGTGCGCCTGCGGGATATGGGTTTCTATAAGATGATTGAGATCGGGCGACTATAGCTCGATTGGTCTTTGATCATAGCCTTGATAGAGCGGTGGCGACCAAAGACGCACACATTCTACCTGCCCATTGGCGAGGCCATCGTCACACTGCAGGACATGAGATTTTATATGGGCTGCCCGTTGATGGACTGCCTGTTGCTCGATCGCCTAGTATGAGAGAGATGACACGTGTGCATTAACTGGACATGCTATAACGGTTTACTGCTTTCCGCCCAGAGGATGAGAATGTACTGCATGGGACCATCCATTTTCCAGTGATGCCTATTCGACTATGGTTGGTGGCATTGCATCCTCAGATCGATGGCAGTACACCAGATTATCATGTTGACCGATATACGAGGTTGCTGCCACTCATGTTGTTTGGAGGGCTCTTGTTTCCGAACACTTCGGGGAACCTAGTTAGCTTGAGATTTCTTCATCATCTTGAGCGGCTAGATGATTTACCTCATACAACTGGGGCTCTGCTGTTCTCACCTACTTGTACAGATGCATGTGTCGGGCGAGCATGGGCACCCAGCGTGAGGTTGCTGGATTCTTTTCGCTACTACAGGTGATAACATATTCGAATACTTTATTCATTTTAACATACCTAGTAAAAATATATCTTAAATTTGACGTCAACTTTTTATGTTAGGTTTGGACCTGGGAGTGGTTTCTGTAGTTGCAGCCACCTGTACCACCATTAGATCCGGATGTACTATCGGAGTTGCTCCCTCTAGCTAGGAGGTGGGTACTCTGATGGGGATATACACGCGAGTACGAGGCTCGGCATAATCTATCCTTGTGTAGGAATATATTGAATTTGCTGGATGGTGCACAGGTAAATGTATACCTAAGTTTACTTGTCATTGCTTCAAACACAAGTTGCATATACTGACATTTTCTGTTCTTCCTTAACAGTTCATCTGGATGCCATACAGCGACGCGCTGATAGCTGGCTTTCCCGATTATTGTTCGGCCGACCGACTTATGTAGGGCTCTTCCATCCCGTTGTTCTACCTTGATATTGTGGAGCACCATGCCACTGAGCGGGTACTTCGCTAGTTTGGCAGGCTGCAGCTCGTACCGACACTGCCCACCTGGGAGACCACACATTACCAGTGGGATGATCATACCAAGGTAGACAACCAATATTTGGCATGGCTACAAGATCAGATATTTACTTGGGACCAGCGATTAGAGCTGATTCCGCCCCCCTCCCCACCGAGTCGGCAGGATATTGAGCATGATTATATGCCCTAGTACCGCGGCGTTACCTGACTTTTCGTCGGGAACCCTATTCATCGAGTTGGCAGTCGGTATGTTCCATACGCCGGGAGGCACGAGGTGCTGATATGTTATTTGGTATTCTTACTTATAACTGTAATATAGCGTTTTGTAATTTATATTTTACATGTTGTGCAGGCTATTGGTCTACATTTAGTCCATCAGTTGGGACTGCAGATGTAGCAGCATGTCGGCAATCCTACGGTCGCTTTGCAGGAGTATGGCCGACAGGTTACAGAGCTGGATGCCCGGATACTGCATCGAGCCAGAGAGGACGAGCGCTTAGAGCAAGTCCCTGCTTATGTGGTGCCAGAGCACTACCATCGGGGTAGGCATGTACCACGAGCGAGGGGACGATAAGGCAGGGGTGCCCCATGGGGTTGTGGGGGCCGGTGAGGAGGTGGTCCCCAAGAAGGGGGCGTTGAGGCACCTGATGAGGATGTTGGAGCTAATCTGTCGGGTTACCTCCCTCAGCCAGATGAGCATCCCAGCAGCATGTCGTCGTACAGCCTTCAGCTAGCACTGACTCCAGCTGCATCGCAGATGACCCTATCAGATCCATTGTCACGGGCAAGAGCATTACCGAAGATTGGGAGAAGTTCTTTTTAGGCCCATCGACCGCTGCTGAGGATCGGCCGACCCGAGATCTGGATGGTGGGCGCCAGCTGAGTTATGGCTCATCATCGATGAGTGCTGTGGATTTTCACAGGCGCATGTATGT